CTCCTGCAGCTACTCCCCCACCTTCAATTCCGGGCAGGTGGTGCACCCCGCCCCTACCAGGCTGAAAGCCAGCTCTGTGGGCAGGTGAACAAAGTTCTAGCTCTCCAACTGCCACAGGAGCAGGGTGGGGAGGGGCGCCTGGGAAGCAGGGGAGGAGCCACAAAGGCAGCAAGGAGCATCGCACTTCCCTCTTCTTTTTTAATGTATACATTCAGTGCCATCAGTCTTCATGTGAGTGCTACTAAAGCAGGACTCTACAAATTCTACTGTGGTTTCATTTTCATACAGTTCAGAATCGTTTCTAATTTTTTTCTCTTTTCATTAGTTCTTTGACCCAGGGGATATTTCGATGTGTTCTGTAGTTCGCAAATAGTTGAGTGTTTTCCAGAGATATTTTTGTTCTTGATTTCTGATTTGATTGCTTTGTGGTCAGGGGACACACTTTTATGACTTCAGGCCTCTTGACTTCTTCCTTTTATTAAGAGTTATTTTATGACCCAGAGTATCGTCTCTTTTGGTAAGTGTTCCATGGATCCTTGGGAAGACTAGTGGCGGTCAAGTCTACTGTGTCCTTGCTGATGTTGTGCCTATTGAAATATCAGACTATAATTGTGAATTTGCCTATTTCTCTTTTCGGTTCTATCAATTTTTGCTTCAGGTACTTTGAAGCTATTAACGGATCCATGAACATTTAAGATTGCTCTTAATTGACCCTTTTATGATTATACAATGACCTGTTGTTTATTGCTGGTAATAATTTTTTGTTTTGGAACTGTGTTGTCTGGTATTCATATAGCCACTCTAGCTCAGCCTTTTTTGGTCAAGTGTTAGTGTGCTATGTCATATTTCTGTCTTTTGAACAAATTTCTGTCTTGACATTTGAAGTGCATTTTGTATAGGTAGCATATAGCCGAGTCTTCCGTTTTTATCCATTTTGACACTCTGCATCTTAGTTGAGGCTTTTAGACCGTTTTCATTTGCTGTGATTATTGACAGAGTTGATTTGAATCTGTCATCATGCTGTTTGATTTGCATTTGTCCTATCTGCCCCTTGTTCCTGTTCTCTCTTTTTCCGCTTTCTTTTAACCGAGTCATTTTTATGATTCAGTGTTATCCATTTATTATTTATTTATTTATTCACTTATTCACTTATTTGTTTAGGCTTCCTAGCTAGAACTTTTCAGTTTGGCTATTGTGGTGGTTGGTTTAGGTTTTATAGTCTGGGGGTTAAACATCACAGTCTAGCTTCCATTAATGTTATACCACATCGTATATAGTTTAGGAAAATTACAATAGTTGACTTCCATCTCTTCTTTCCTAGACAGATCCTTCCTGGGTCAGTGGGATTATAGTTTTCATGAAGTTTAGGAAGATTTGGGCCATTTTTTTTCCTCTCCCTTTCCCCTGCCTCTTTGGGCAATTGTGTATTTCCCCCTTGAAGTTGTCTCCCGGGTTGCCAATGTTAAACTTCAGTCTTTTGTTTTGTGATGTCTCATATGTGTTTATTCCTGTCCATCGTATTGTTCATGTCTAACATAATTTACATGTCTGTAAGTGCTATTTGGTTTTTAAAACAATAGCTTCTATGCCTCTAGTTATCTTTTCATGCTTTGTTTGGAGATATCGTTAGGTTACTTACAAACAGATGGATCCTTTAGTGTTGCTATTACGAATTGTTGGATGAATCCAGAGTGGTGATCAGCCTAAAGCAAATTATGAGTTTTTCTATCCTAGCTAATGTGAATAGATACTGTCCCTTGTGCTGTTGGGAGCACCAGGCAGTGTTTCCTCTATCTTTTCAGATTTTTTTCCCTTGATGACTTCCTTCCATGTATGCATTGGTTGTTACTCTGCTGAGTAGCCAAAGGGGACCCTCTGCAGATGTCCAGGGTTCTTTCTGTGTTCTGCTTTCTCCTCTCCT